GCATGGCTTATGGGCAGATGGGGGCTGCGTAGGGTGGGCAGTGCACAGGGTCCCCAGGGCCTCAAGGCCTGGGCCAGGTCTGCTTCAGGACCGGGGTTCTGCTGGGCCTGATTCTGCCCCAAGGGCCCTCTCTAGCTGGAGGTGGAAGCAATTCCCCATCTCTATCAGTGCCTGGTGGCACTGCAGGGAGGCTGCAGCTGCTGTAGTGCAGGGGGAAATGTTGCAGTGGCAGCTAGGCAGCAGCACCCACGTCCAGCTCTGCCTGGGCTGGGGAGTTGGGTGCACAGCTCCATTGGGCTCCCCACTGCAACCCTGGGGCTTCATGGGCACGAGGCAAGCGTGGCGCAGCATGGGGTGAGGCAGGAGTGGGGCAAGGGCAGGGGCAGGACGGGGTGGGGGCCTGGGGCACAGTGCGGGGTAGACTGCGGTGGCTCGCCCAGCTCCAGGTGCACAGGTTGGAGCTCCTTTGCCCTGCCACCACCCCCCAGCTGAGGCCACTAGCCTGCTCCGGGGCCAGTGGCCTGCACAGAGCGAAGATGCGAGGGTGGGTTTCAGGGCCTCCTGCTGGGGGCAGTACTGCCTAATGGCTCCAGGATGGGGCTTAGACCAGCTCTGCCACTGGCTGCCCTGGGCAGGCCATCCTGCTGCAGCTCCTAGCACAGAAGAGCTCTTATCCGGATCCAGACGCCAGCAGAGAGGCCTTATCCCTAGGGCCAGCTGTCTTGGGTGTGAGCACTGACCCAATGCGGCCAGTGCCCCAGGGCAGCCAGCCAGAAGGCTGCTCCTGCTCTCTGGGGTGCTGGCTGTCTCCCTCCCTCTTCCTGTGTTGAGCAGGCCAGGATTTTGCTGGTGTGACACTAAGCGCTTGTAGGAAAAGGGAAGCTGAGAACTGAGGACAACTTGCTGAACAGGCGCCACTGGGCAGGGAGGACTCCCGCCCCCCCGGGCTGGGAGGAGGCTGGGCTAGCCTTCGCTGCCCTCTGCCCCACACACCTTCCGCTGGGGCCACGAGGAGGAGACAGGCCTGCCCTGCACACGTTCCTTCTCTTGGCTAATTATAACAGGCCTAGACCACACCAAAGGCCTGGTCTCTGCGGAGGGTGGAGGCGATCCGCCCCACGGGCTGGGGTTCAGAGGCCAGCCCACACCGTGGGCGCCCACCCAGTGCCAGTTAACCAGGAGGGAAGCTGTGTGATTACAGAGGAATCCAGCAAATTACAGACCTCTGCTTCCAGGATCAGAGGAGGCGGCAGTGGCACTAATGGAGGCTTTTACATCCCTGCTGTCCCTCCCCACTGCTGCCTCTCCCTAGGCTGGGCTGCAGCTGGGGTTTGGAGAGCAGCAGTGACAGCGCACTCGGGATGCCTTCGCCTGGCTGGGGTTGCCGGTCCAATAGCTTCTGTCCAGATGCCTTCAGGCTCGCGCAGCCTTCGAGGTGACCATGCCCGGAGAACCTCCCTTGGGTGCTGGGGAGGGAAATCCTGGAAGCTCTGCCTGCCTTCCTCTGACGTAGCGAGGGCTGGGGGAGGTGACACTCCTTGGGAATTCAGGTCCTCTCCAATGGGGGATGCTTTATGGTGGCTGGAGATGTAGTAGGTGGGATCAGATCTTATGCTCTGGGATCGGGCCTAGGGTGACCACTTTTTCAAAATGGAAAGACAGGACACGTGCCTGCCCCTCCCCACCCCCCAGCCCCTCTGCCGGGGCGGCACAGCTGGAGCACAGCCGAGCAGAGAGGAACGGGGGCAGATATGGGCTGCCCACTGGGGGCTCAGGACTCCCCACACTGCTGCCTTTCCCCCAGGAAGCCACACTGCCATGGCAAGGCACCCCCTGCCCGCATGGCAGCAGTGGGGGGCACAACTCCACACCAGTGCCACCCCTGCTACAGCCAGGCAGGCAGGGGGACCTCACCATGGTGGCGCGGCCAGCGTGGGGTTCCCAGAGGGACAGCAGCAGGGTGGGGAGCCCTGAGATGGCAACAGGCAGCCTGTATCTGCCCCAGCCCTGCATACAAATGGGGGGGCACATGTCCCCCCCTGTCCCCACAGGGGGTACGCACAGCAGCAGGGAGCTGGCCCCATTGCTGCCCCCTGGACAAGCCGCCCACTCTACACCCGGGCCTCATGCCCCATCCTGGCTGAGCAGCACCCCCAGCCCCAGCCACACTCCCTCCCTCGCTGTGGGGGCCTCAGTCTGCCTCCCCCTCCTCCTCACAGACTTACCTGCAAGGAGCTGTTCTCTGCACTGCCTGGCTGGGATCCCGGCTATGTGCATGTGTGCAGGTGCGCACATGCACGTGGCACCCCCTCCCCCAGCCCCAAGCAGTATTCCAGGGGCAACCCACCATTTCCCACTATTTTCCCTGGCAAATGGAAAACCTGGATCCCTGCATGATATCGCAAATCCAGGACAAATGCTGTCCCAGAATCGTGCAGCCCAGGACCGGGACTTGACGTTCTCATTCCAGGACTGTCCTGCCCAATTAGGGACGGGTAGTCTCCCTAATCAGGCCCTATGCCACCCATACCCGGTCCCTTGTGCCAGAATTGGGCCCTGCATGCCAGGATCAGGCCCCATGTTGCCCCTACCCAGCTCCACATGCTGGGATTTGGGCCCACTCCACCTTGTACACCCGAAACAGCCTGCAGGGCCCTGTCTGTCTGGCCTGTGGAGCTCCCCACAGGTCTGGAAATTGGTAACGGGAGTGGTTGCACTGCTCCCCCCACCACTACATTTAAGCACCTCTGGACTAGATGATTGCAAATGATCCCTTCTGGCATTACAACCTGCGGGAAAACCTTGTTCTTACCCCTTTATATAGATGCCCCACAACATGGTGACAGAAATGGGGAGACTTGGCCCTATGGGCCAAAACAGCCTGCATGTTGCCATCTATGATTTGCCAAGATCCCAGAGGCCCTTGTAAGCTCAGGGCTGCCAGCATCCCAGGCCAGGACCCTGCACCTGGGCCCTCAGGACTAAAAAGGAGCCCATTGCCAAACTAAACCATCCACGGCTGGCAAAGGAGCAAGAGGTGCCTGTCCCTACCCTGGGCCATGGGCCAGAAGGGCGCAGCTAGTCAGGCGCCGTCTCCTCTGGCCAGTGTCCCCCTCATGCGGGTTTCCCAGGTGTTTCCCATGGAAGCCCCTGGGTTGTCACTCCTGAACGTGTCCTCAGAGGTGCAGGGTGATGGGGAAGGCCTGCTCCTGACCTGACCTGAGCTCTTGGGCATGTGGGTCTGCAGGGCTGAGAGGTGAGAACTGGTCAGACCAGCTGGGAGGGGGCAGGCTGGCACGGTGCTGGTGCTTGCTGGCTCATGTTGGTGGCTCTGGTGGGCCAGAGTCAGTGCACTATAATTCCCCACGAGCCTCCGGGGAGACAGTCCTGGCCCCTGTTCTGCAGTGATTATCCCTGTGTCCTGGGAAGGGCAACCCAGTCATAGCAGTGAACTGTGTCAGAAGAGGCCAAGCACAGCAGGGGGACTGGTGCGTTCCCCTCTGCATGGCAGGGCACGCTTGCTGCGTGGTCGGCGCCTCTGAGATCAGAGCAGAGTGGCAACAAGTTCCCAGGGCAGCTAGATGGGGCATAAGGCTCCCATGGGAGAGGGAAAGGTAGTTAGCCACAATAGTCTCAAGTCAGGCAGGCCAGGGTGGTGCTGCCCTGCCCTGCTTTCTCCGCACGGTGACAGCAAACCACTGAAGCAGCCTGCTGTGGCAGGAGGGAGATTTGCTATCTTGGGGAATATTTAAGCTCAGATGGATGCTTCTTGGGCAAGACATTCTCCAGCTATTGGACTAGAAGCAGCACTGAACTCAGGGCAGCCTGTGGCCCAGGCTGGGCAGTAGGGCCGTCTAGATGATTGCAGTAGATCTTTGCAGCCATGACACCCACATATGTCCAGCTGTCCATCCAGACGTTTATGAGGCCCTGGGTATGCAACGGTAACCTAGTGTATGCTCACAGGCGAGTTCTGAGGCAGGGAAGGGTTAAGTCCAGTTACAGATCATGGTGCCCATCTCCGAGGTGATCGGTGCTTTACAAAGGAGGTCGGCGTCCTTGTCCCTACCACAAAGACAGGGAAACTGAGGCACAGGAAGGGTGACTTGGCGGAGGGGCTCGGAATGGAATTCAGATTCCTGGAGCTGCTTTGCAGCGCCTGAACCCACCTCCCTAACAGGCAGCCCCTTCCCTCCTCAGAGCAAGGGGGAACCATGCAAGCCAAGACCCCGCCCTGCTATTTTTATCCGCTTCAGCGAGCCTTGGCAGCCAGACACTCCTGCCTTTCCAGCGGGTCTGTGTGAGAAGTGGGGGGCCCCTGTCCAACACGCCCTGAATTTAAAGTGAATGAAAGAGCACAGGAGTGAGGATGTGCAGTGCCTGTTTGTGAACATGAAGGGGTGCTGGGGGTGCAGAAGGCAGGGAAGGAGACCAGCCCCTGGGGAGAGCTGTCCAGGCTGCTCGTGATCTGCAACTGTGGCAGACTTCAGCAGCTGGCATGGGTCATTGTGTCCTGCTCAGTGGGGTGGATGCCCTCCCCAAGTGGGACAGGCCCTGTGCTGGGGTTTGCTCCCTCTCTCCCTAGAAGCCTCCCAGTTCCAGGTGTGCCAGCAGGCAGAGCTGCTCAGGGCACCCCAAACCTCAGAGTATCCATGCATGCCCCTCACACCAGTGGGGAAACTGAGGCACCGAGCCACTAAGGGATTTACCCGCATAGAGCCATGTCTCCCTTCCCCAGTCAGCGCCCGCCTCCACTCTCTCTCCCTGCCCCTCTTCTTGCCCTAATGTGCTCTTGGCAGCGCAGCTCTGTTGCAACTGCCTGCAAATGGCACAACACCCACAGGCTCAGGCCTGGATCAAAGTGGCAGCTGCCAGTGCCAGTGGCCTTTAGCCCCTACAGAACAACAGCCGGTGGGAGGGAAAGCGGGTGACAGGAGCAGGCAGTAGGCAAATCGCTAACACGAGCCTTTCTCTTTTGTTTCCCTTTCTCGCTGCTTCAGTCCTGGTACCTAGGATAACTGCAGCTGCCCCCTCCTTCGCCTCCCTCCTCCTCTGCTTTAGGCATCCCGAGAGGAAAACATACCACAGGACCAGGCCCAGCCTTTCGGTGACGACGGAGAGAGCGAATTCACAATGATGACGACGACAAACACACAACATGTGACAAGAAAGGAAGGAAGGAAGGAAGGAAGAACGAAGGGAAAGAAAGAGAGAGAGAGAGAAAAAAAGGTTCAAACCTTTTTAGAAACTAAAAACCAAGAAAAAAAACCCCTAAAAACCAAGCGAGCCCCGCGTGCACACATGGCCGCCCCAGGCAGACTCGCCACAAACACTATTTGTCCCGTCGGCCAACCTGGCAAGAGAAGCAACGCAGCTCGTCCCACTGGCCGTCTCCGCAGCCACGGCGCTGGAGTCTTGCTGCCACTCTCCAAAGGGTTGTATATGCAAAATTGTCTTTCTCGTTTCCTGTTTCATTTTTGCCTCTTGCGAATGAAAAAGAACAAACCCCACCAGGCACCCTCGCCCGCCCTGCAGCAAACTTTCTACTTCCCGGGAAGGCTCTAGGAACGAGACAGCGGGTTCAGAGCACGGCAGCCAGTTGCTTCTGAGCCCATGGGCACCGGGTGGGTCAGGAGATCTCTCGTTAGTGCTGTCGCTTCCCGCTCCACCCCAGACACGCCGCAAACAAGATGCCTCCAGCCTCCCGCTGCCCCAGCGTTCGGACGACGTGTACACCTTTCCTTTGTTTTTTTCTGAAATCCTCTATGCCATTAAATGCTCTTTGGGGCAGGAGTGAGTGGCATCCCCGCGGGACTCCTTGGAGCAGCAGTATTGCAGGGATGCAGGGACACGGCCCCTCTCATCCTCCCACTTCTCCAGTTGCCTTTGTCCGTGACCATCTACGGAAGGGGAAGGGGATTCCAGGACTCCTGCCTCAGGTCTCCACCCTCAGTGCGTGCGTGGGGAGCAGGACCTGGGTTCAGCAGCACCCCAGCCCCGTGCTCCCGGTCAAGGGCAGGCTGGCCGTGGAGCAGGGCACTGGGCTTCGGTGAGTGGCACTTCCACAGCTGGGAGATATTGTGCGATGGGCATTGCAGGGAGGAGACAGAGGGGAGGGGCACAAGACTTGTGATGGGCACAAGTGGGTGCAGCAGGAGGGTAGGGCAGCCCACAAAGAGCAGAGCATACTGCTGTGTGGATTGGCATGGCCAGGCACTGCAAATTGTCACTGGGTCTCAAATCCCAGAGGTGAAATTTCTTAATTACAGATTAACGACTGCATTATGGAAACTCCTGGAATCCAAATTTCCAGACCCTTCCTCCACGGACAATCAAGTCCACTGGCACCTCCCCCAGTCTCGCCCCGCTTCGGACCTGGGACAGCCACAGTGTCCAGGGGGAGCGGGTCTGTCTCTGCAATGCCTTCGACACAGCAGAAGGAATGAGGCCAGGGTTGGGTTCCACCGCAGTGCAGCATGACGGCTCCGCCGCCCTGCCCCAAGTCTTGCCAGGGCCAGCACCTGGCCAGGGATGATCGTGGCGCGTGGCTTCCGTGATGTAGCCTGGTGAGCTTCCCATACTGTAGCTTTCCATTTGCAGCTCCTGGCAAACGCAGGCCATGTCTCCTGCTACCACAGTTTCTTCTGTGCGTTTACTTTGTGCTGGGGCA